TACCCTAGTGACTGACTTCCCATGCTCTGGGCATCACACATTATCTTCATGCATGTGATACCCCTTCCCTGAATTTACGTTGTTGTTTTTTTTTATTTATTTACCTTCAATTAAAGACAAAAAACGTTATTAATAGCTCAGAGGATGTTACAGCATGTGCAAATATACAACATATTCGATTTTGAAATTTAATTTACACTGATAAAATACAATTGGAACAGAAGTTTCTATGTGTCCCCGGGCTAGATTCGAGTTTGTAGTACGCACATTCAGAACATTGGCACTGACACAGACAGGAAGTGTTATGTAATAGATATACACATACGTCTCCACAACAATAGATTAGATTTCTTAAAGTTGTGATTTACCTGTATTGTATACCTGGACGTGCAAAATTTTGCATTCATATTGAATAGGAGTCTGCTTCGTAAAACTTGAAATACATCGCAAACAATAAAATAATTTGTCCATTCTATAAGTAGCAAATTATTTTATACAAAATTTTCCATTTATTCAATACAACATTAAATTATCAGCAACTATTAGAAAAATTCATTCAGAATTCCTCCAGACTTTGAAAGCTTTGAACAAACAGCAAGTGTTATGCATTAATATGATATAGAAAATAGATTTAATAAGTATCTCATATTCACATATCGACGACGATAGGAGAAAGGGGGGGGGGGAAGCTGGTTTTAATCAGACTGTTCATATTTATTGATTATTTTTCTAAAGATATGCTATGCACTTTTTGGATATTCATGAAGTGTGTTGATTAAATAAATATATTTACAGTATAGTATAAACATATACATACAGACAAGTTTCCTGAAATGTCCCTCTCCGTTTATTTTAGATTTTTATTCTCCCCCCCCCCCTCCCTCCACCCACACACACTTTATTACCGTGCAAACTAATCCTCATGTTTCTCTACCCCAAATAAAGTGTGTAATTTACTCCCTTAAATGATTTAAAAGTTTCAGTTTCGTGAAACCTTTCTCTTTGGTTTCAATAATTACTCTGACAGACCCAAGTTTTTCAAGATCGCTGACCAATAAAAAAAAGAAGACTGTTATTGTCTTTGAAATTTTTATACGAGTATAACGATATTTTTGTGATTTCAGGATTGCTTTTGATCAGTTGATATAACCTATATGTATGATGGGGGATCAAGGTGTCAAGACTGGCTACTGAAATATGGCCACGTTATACATGCAGTTTTTACAGCTTGAAAACACGGTTATCGTAAAAGGGCTTGATCACCTCGTGAATTTTCCGAGAATCCATAGTCTTATAGTGGGCGACCGATAGGATTAGATAGGCCCCACTGCACAAGCTGTGATTGTGTAATACATGTACACGTGTTTGGTCAGTTTCAACTTATTTAGTTCATGACTTCTCTGCTTAATTATCCACTGAGAAAAACGCAACCATTTAATTCTTTAAGCTTCATAAAAATGACTATTGTCGACTTCTTTTAGAATATATGAACATGATGAACAGAGCTGTTTTTTTTTCATTCAGGCCCATGATTCTATCAAATTCAGTGGTGATCAATATCGTTAATTCAAATATTCGGGATTATTGTAAATTGTTATAATATTTGAATATGTTGGAAGAGATATTTTGGCGTGAAATTATGTGTTTTCATTTTTTTTTTTTTCAGTGATATACACATTGCGATTTTCAATTCGAAATAAAAACCAACTGCAGTAATACTGTATGAAAAAACTGTTATGATGAAAAAAAGGGCGTGATATAAATCGAATCGATATTTACTACAATAAAAAAAATATGTTGACTTATAGATCTCCTCAACATAATTCAGGTTACTAATTAGAAACTACAACAATGATAATATTTTGATAGAATAAATGCCAAGTATCATTCAAATATCACCCTTTAGACTGAAAAAAAAGGATTTATAAATTATTTATAGAATTTTAAAGCTATATATATGGCGTATCTGAGCTAAAAATAAAAAATAAAAATACGAGACTGAGTGTGGATGAACATGATGTTATTTACGTTCAAATTAAAATTTTCGCTGATTTTGAACTTGAATAACCCCACATTTCTATAGTAAATTGACTTTAAACTGTGTCTGATATTGATATGCAGAGTCGGTAAATAAATCGGTTATTGTTTTTTTAAAATTTCTAATATCTATGAAACGCGATTGATTTAAATTGTGTAATTTACAGGAAAGTCCTATCTTTATATGAGGTAATAATACAAATAGAAAGATCTTTTTAATTTTAGTAAGCCTGAACTTATCAAAAATAAGCCAAATATGACTTTAACATGTTTAAACCAAATTAGCGATCTTATATATTCACAATTAAATATCCTTACTTTGGCATTAAGGATTATCGACTTCACATTGAGTAAAATACGGTAGAGCACACCGTCACGGTAATCTCGTGTCCCCACGATCACCGCGATGATAAAACCGCGACGGTGTATCGCGGAAAGGATTAAAACACCATCGCGGGGACGCGGGAAAATACGGGATCCGCGTTGACCGTAGTGTAGTTATCTCTACAGACCAACAAACTGGCTTGTAAAGTTTCTGTAATCCTAGAGACAATTCAAATCAATCTAGTTTATCGTCTGTAGAGACGAGTATAATGGGTTGGGAAGTGGATAAAATATACAAATTTGTTATAAAATATGTCTAGAATTAGGGAATGAAAAATAGTTAATTGACCAATGGTGGAAAGTGGAGAAATTCCCCCCAACAGTGCGCAAAAAATTTTGCACCGTAAATTGCACATTTTTTGCATTACAGGATCTTTAGCGTTATGGTCAAAGACTAATATATAAAACTATAATGCAAAAATAAGATTTTGGAACCACTGGTTGCCGTATCACGCAAGTTTCACCGTACTTTGTTCTTTGAATTTGCCATTTTTAGGTCACCTGAGTCACTCAGGTGGCCTATTGCTATCTCTTTTCGTCCGTCGTTCATCGGTCGTAAACTTTTGAACATTTTCAGCTTCTTCTCTGGAACCAGCAAACCAATTTCAACCAATTTTGGCATCTATGGGTGAAGGGGAACAAAAATTGTGAAATTCCTGGCCCCTGCCCCCCTGGGGCCTGAGGGGTGGGGCCAAAACCATCAAAATTAATGCAATCTTTAAAAATCATCTTCTTTACTCCTGGGCATCAAGCAGTCAAACTGTTGGCATGATTGTAATAAGCATTGAGCCCTCTACCAAAATTGTGAAATTCATAGCCCCAGGGTCAGGGGTTCTGGTGCTAGGGCGGGGCTATATAGATCATATAGTGAAAGTGCATTATTTCTTTGAAAATTTTCTTCTCTACTTCTCTACTCCTGGGTATTATTGAAAGAAATTGAATACATAGTTATGATAAGCAAGGGTGACTCTACCAAAATTGTGAAATTCATAGCCCCAGGATCAGGGGTTCTGGTGCTAGGGTGGGACTATATAGATCATATAGTGAAAGTGCATTATTTCTTTGAAAATCTTCTTCTCTACTCCTGGGTATTATTTAAACAAATTAAATACATAGTTATGATAAGCAAGAGTGACTCTACCAAAATTGTGAAATTCATAGCCCCAAGCTCAGGGGTTCTGGTGCTAGGGCGGGGCTATATAGATCATATAGTGAAAGTATGTTATTTTTTTGAAAATCTTCTTTTCAACTCCTGGGTATTATTTAAACAAATTAAATACATAGTTATGATAAGCAAGAGTGACTCTACCAAAATTGTGAAATTCATAGCCCCAGGGTCAGGGGTTCTGGTGCTAGGGTGGGGCTATATAGGTCATATAGTGAAAGTGCATTATTTCTTTGAAAATCTTCTTCTCTTCTCCTGGGTATTATTTAAACAAATACATAGTTATGATAAGCAAGGGTGCCTCTTCCAAAATTGTGAATTTCATCACCCCTGGATCAGAGGTTCTGATATTAGGGCGGGGCTCTATTTATTATATAGTGAAAATGCATTAATGCTTTAAAAATCTTCTCTGCACCTGGGCATATCAGAGGCAAAAAGAGTAAAAGTTTTAATAAGGAAGGGTATTTTTACCAGATTTTTGAACATCAGAACCATTTGATCAAGTGTTCTGGTCCAGGCCAGGGCTCTGTTAATTTGTATTCTATTGAGAGGAGTCATTCCCCTTTGCCATTTACTTGTGTTAATTAATCACTGTAAATAATGTACTTGAAAGGTTAATAGAATAAGAGAATTATGCAAGAATTTTTATTGTATAATACAAAAAGTTATTTCATAGTTTTAATGATCAGGTAGACTTGTAAGTAACAGATAAATAAAAATGAGACAAAAATAACTTGTCTTATTAAATGTTCATCAAAGACCAAGAGAGGCCAATGTAAGAGATTTCAACAAGGAATTAAAAGAGTACAGCAGCACTGATTATAAGTTTGTTTATATACTGTCTGGTGAGAGTGATAAATGGGGAACAGATAAGAACCTAATTTATGTACTGATAATGAACACTAGACTAATTATTTTGTTGATCCTGATCACCCTATTTTTCTTGCTTTTGGGCAACAAAGCTTCACCTTTCAGTTCATTTTATACTCTATGGATCCTCTAAATTGTTGTATTATACTCAGGTGACCGTTAAGGCCCTTGGGCCTCTTGTTAAAATATTCTGATTTGTATTGCTGTATTTATCTATCTCCTCCATTTTCTACAGTACTGAATATCACACCCTATCGTAACTCGATCGTAATTGTTACATGGCAGAATTATGGTTGTAGTTTAGATGCAACCACTAAAATTAAAAAAGATCTTTTGAACAGATGTTCTATGCCAGTGAATCATTTCAATTTTAAACCTAGGTCTTTTTACTTATTCAAGGTCACATTTTCAATATTGGGATTAAGATTTTTAAAAAAAATAGCGAGGAGGATATAATTTCCTCCTAATTTTTTGCCACTACAGTTAAACGGGTCATGGAGAATTCTGCGTTATTGTTATAATGATTTTTTTTTTTATTTTTAAGGTTAAACTGTATGATGCCTTAGAAGGAAACTTTAACTCAGAGACTTTCACATTTAGAAATGTTGGGAAGAAAGTTCTAGGTCAGCATGGAATTGAACTCCTGATGGAGAGAAAGGGCTCCTTTTTCTTCCCCTATGTAGTCGGGATTCTTTGTATTGGAACACAAGTAAGTGTATTATTTTATATTTTTGGTCACCTGAGTGACTGTTATCTGTTTTCATCTGTTGCCATGCGTCAGTCGTCGTCTGTTAACATTTGAACATGTTCAACTTCTTCTCTGAAACCACTAAACTAATTTCAACCAATTTTAGCATATAGCATCTAAGGGTGAAGGGGAGCAAAAATTGTTAATTTCATGGTCCCTGTTGCCCTGGGGCTGAGGGGTGGGACCAAAACTACTTAAATTAATGCAGTCTTGAAAAATCTTCTTTGCTTCTAGACATCAAGCAGTCAAACTTTTGGAATGTGTGTAATAAGCATTGAGTCCTATACCATAATTGTGAAATTCATGGTCCCAGGGACATTAATCATAGATTATTAGTGAAAGTGCATTAATTCTTTGAAATCTTCTCTGCTCCTGGGTTTTAAACAAAATAACTACATACATAATTATGATGAGCAAGGGTGCTTCTTCAAGAATTGTGAATTTCATGGCGCCTGGGTCAGGGGTTCAGGTGTTAGGGCGGGCTCTATTGATTATATAGCAAAAATGCATTAATTTTTTGCGAATTTTCTCTGCTTCTGGGTATGAAACAAACTAACAACATACATAATCATTATACATAGTTATGATGAGCAAGGGTCCTTCTTCCAAAATTGTGAATTTCAAGGCCCCTAGTTCAGGGGTACCATAGAGGGGATGGGAGTGGGTTCTAATCATTATATACTGAACATGAATTAATGCTTTGAAATCTGCTCCTTGGTATTTAACAAACATTTATGATGAGCGAGGGTGCCTTTTCCAAAATTATGAAATGTGTTGCTCCAGGTTCAGGGGTTCCTCTGGGGAGAGGACACTACTGATTTTTAGCTCACCTGAGCTGAAGGCCACAATGGAGGATCAAAGTTTTACAGTCTTTAAAAATCTTCTTCTCAAGAACAGCAAAAACATGATGAGTCATATTTATATGGAAGCATCCTCAGGTAGTGTAGATTCAAGTTTGTTCAAATCATGACCCCCAGGGGTAGGGTGGGGCCACAATGGAGGATCAAAGTTTTACATAGAAATATATAGGAAAAACCTTTAAAAATCTTCTTCTCAAGAACAGCAAAGCCATGATGAGTCAAATTTATATGGAGGCATCCTCAGGTAATGTAGATTTAAGTTTCTTCAAATGATGACCCCCGGGGGTAGGGTGGGGCCACAATGGAGGATCAAAGTTTTACATAGAAATATATAGGAAAAATCTTCCCAAGAACAGCATAGCCATGATGAGTCATATTTATATGGTAGCATCCTCAGGTAGTGTAGATTCTGTTTGGTTCAAATTATTACCCCTGGGGGTAGGGCGGGGCCTCAATGGAGGATCAAAGTCTTAAATAGAAATACATAGGAAAATATCTACTTCTGAAGAACTGCAAAGCCATGATTAGTCATTTTGATATGGAAGGTAGTGTAGATTCAAGTTCGTTAAAATGATGACCCCTGGGGATAGGATCGGGCCACAATGGGGGATCCAAAATTTTACATAGGAACACATAGGAAAATATCTTCTTCTCAAGAACTGAAAATCGTATTGTTTAGTCATTTTGATATGAAAGCATCCTCAGGTAGTGTAAATTCAATTTTGTCCAGATGATGACCTCCGGGGGTAGGGTGGGGCCCAGTTGGGGGTCGAAAGTTTTACATAAGAACATACAGAAAAAAATATTTCTTCTCAAGAACAGAAAAGCTGTGTTTAGTCATATTGATATGGAAGCATCCTCAGGTAGTGTAGATTCAAGTTTGTTCAAATGATGACCCCTGGGATAGGGAGGAGCCACAATGGGGGATCAAATTTTTACAATGGAATATATGGGAAATTTATTTTTTAAATCTTCTCAAGTACAACAAAGCCATTTGTTATATTGACATGAAAGCATCATCAGATAGTATAAAATTCAGCCCCCCCCCCCCCCCCCCCAGTAATCTTTTTAATACTGAACTGGTTTGTGCTTTTGCCTAGCCATTGTACTCAGTGAGCGATGTGGCCCATGGGCTCTTGTTACTGATTATAACTGATTAGTTGAAATGCATTTTTTTGTTCCCCTTCTCTTCCTGCGCAAATTAAGTAACCAAACTAAGTTTTTAAGTGTACATAAATGGGTGCAATGGTGCGTCTTTCAAAATTGTGAATGTCATGGCCTCTGGTTTAAAACACAAACCAAATTCACTTGCTGGAAAGTTGTTACATAATGCTAAGGTAGGTAATAAGGCCCATGGGCCTCTCGTTAGTTCACCTTAACTAAGTTTGGTTAGCTAATACTATATCCTTTGCATAGGTAATTGTGTCACATATTTCAGTTTTTGGAACAAATTAAGTAATTAATATTTTCAAGTACTTTACTTTATGCTTGATGTTGCTAAAAGATGCATGGAAAATTCTTGTATTTTTCAATGAACAAGTCAGGTTTCAGATATACTGCATCCACCAAGCCAGACAAGATAAAACTAATGTGGAAGCATCTTGGGAATCTCTGTCAATACTTAATTTTTTACCAAGCTTCACAAAATTTCTATGTTACATATCTCTAGTTCACCCCACTCCTCTTTTTTATGAAAAAATCTACAACCTTGATGGTTTTTAGCCTTTCCAGCACAATTGTATATTTCACGATTTTCTGCAAATCAAACTTGTTTATGAATAGGTATTATTGTTAAGATATATTAACCTTTTTATTTTTTTTTTTTAGCGAAGCACAATTTTTTAAAGCTGTGTACAAACTAAGAATTTATGCCTATTTATGAGCAGGTGTATATTTAAGCCAACTTTAGTCTCCACCTAAATCTCCACCAGATTGTGAAATGCATCTGAGTCCAATTTACAGGTTAAGTCACTGATTGTGTCCGGACTAAGCTCTTGCCTGGTCGTAGGCGTTTTTAGAAACGGACCTTTGTTCTTATTGAAGATTCATTTTGATTATCAATGTATCTGGGGGGGGGGGGGGGGGGGGGTTGACATAAAAAAATGAAAATACTAAATTGCACAACTAAATTACTATAGATTCTTTATGAAATAAAGGAAAATCATTATATGAAACGGGGAAACATATAATGTTAAAACACTGACTCTTATCTGTTCATCTAAAATAATCTCACAATTAGGTAGATTGATGATGCTATTTGTATAAGCCGAATTTTACCTGAAATAAAATGAGGAGCATGGTAGAGTTGTTAAATATTTTTATCTTCTCATATTTAGGTAATTCTTACGTATCTACGCATCGATGAGGATCATTTTCATCAGATTGAAGAAAAGGGAGAGGTTAATAAAACAAGCAACGCAACAATTTCTTACACTAGGCCATTTGATTTCATGGACACGAGTGATAGGCAGGAAATCTTGGAATCTTTTTTCTGGTTAGGATATGTCCAATCAAATGCCTACCAGTTTAAATGGAAGTAGAATTTATTAATTGTTCATTCTTTCCTTGTAACTCAGGTAATTGTTATGACCAGTTGAAAAATCTTTGGGGTTATTTTATGCAATCAAATAAATGTGTTCTTTGTTAAACTAAATAGATAAATGTATGTATTTATGTTTTGTTACCAATAGATGCACATTTTCTTTTTAAAAAATTATTTATCAACAATCACAATTCACCGTCTTTTGCTTAGACGGGTGTCGCCCGTGTGGCACAGTGGTTAGAGCGTCTGCTCTAGAGTCCTGAAGTAAGGAGTGGATCCTTATGTCACGGGTTCGAATCCCACTGCGGGACGTGGAGACCAGTCCTTCAGATGAAACTGTATAATCCGAGGTCCCGTGTCACAGTAAGTGCTGGCACGAAAAAGATCCCTCCCTGCTCAATGGCCCTGAGTGCCAAGTATAGGACAAAATTTGCAGCTCTCCACCGGCAAGTGGTGGCGTCTCCATATGAGTGAAAAATTCTCGAGAGGAACGTCAAACAATATACAATCAATCAATAAACGGGTGTCTTTGACATCAATAAATTTGAAGTGAAGACAACACCACATGTACTAAATTGTAATCATCATGTGATCAGGATGATAACTACTAAGTAACAATTCCAAAACTGGACCATTTACGTTTTATACAAATGTCATTGTTATTAATTAGTGTACAAAACAATTCTCCTATATCGACACTCTTGAAAAAAGACTATTCCAAAACTGGATCACCTTAATGTCTTTGAAATAAACTTAACTGATGTACAAACAAATGTATTTTTATGTTCATAACATGCAGTAATGCATTTAAGATTACTTTATGTGTCTGCAAACGTTACTCTTTTCATTCTTATTTCTAAAATTTATAATCTCATTGGACAACGAAGTAAGGTTTTTCTGTTATATTTTGTTCTCTTAATTAAAAGAAAATCTTATGTTGAATGATTTCATCTTCTGCTTTTAAGGATGTCTTTGTTATCAATAAATCTGAAATGAAGACATCTCCACACTACGGAATTCTAATCATCGTGTCACCAGGATGTTAACAACTAAAATAAATATTTCAAAACTGGATCATGTTCGTTTTATTCAAATGTCGTTGATATTGATTAGATATTAAACATTTGTTCCATATCAACTCTGTTGAAAAAAGACAATTCCAAAACTGGATCTCCTTGATGTCACCTCAAACTGGATCACCTTAGTCTCTTTAAAATAAACTTGATTGATGTGACAAACTTATCATTCAAATCCTCACAACTTGCAATAATGCATTTAGGACTACCTTGTGTGTATGCAAACATAATTCTTCTTTCTAAATTTCATAACCTCATTGGACAACGAGAGTGAGTGTTTTGGATGCCTTTACTTTAATTCCTAAAAAGAAAATTAAATCCTGAATGATTTCATTTTTTGCTTAAACGGGTGTCTTTGACATCAATAATTGTGAAGTGAAGACAACTCCACATGTACTATCTTGTAATCATCATGTGATCAGGATGATAACTACTTAGTAACTATTCCAAAAACTGGATCATTTACATTTCTTATACTGAAATTGCGCGCACACACACACACACTCACATCCCCTCACACGCATCATGGATCCAATGGGTTGGGTTGGACAAAAATGGGAGATTGCATAAGATTAATTCGTAGGAAAAAAATCTTAAAATTTGCTTTAAATGGTCATGTTAATTCAAATGAAATTCAGCATCCCAATGAACTCTGGGTTCATTTAAAAATGCATTGACCTTTCAGGTGGGGTCACATAATTGAATCAAAATTTTACATAGAAATACAAATAAATTTTTAAAAAAAGTCTTTAAAACATCAGGTCAAGGTGAATCAGGCGAACAGTGTGTTCTATGGGCCTCTTCTTAGAAGTCGTACGATCATTCATACCGGTAGTTTATGTTTCACAACATAAACCATAATATTCATTTTTCCCAATAATTTGTAGAATTATACATCGTGTGAAAAATACATTAAATGTACTTTAGCGGTGATTTGCCCTGAATTTATGTAAACATTATAAGACTGTAATTTGCATTAAAAATGTCTCCAATCATTATTCATAATCTAGAATGATTTGATAAAATTCGTTTCAAATTTAAATTATCACCATATCCTGAAATAGTTAAATAACCAAAGAAGATGTTTTTATACTCTTTTTTTAAATAGTGCAAATCAATAAACGTTAATCTATAAATAAATTTGAAAATTTTGAACTTTTATAACTGTGCCATTTTCTTTGATCTATAATTATAATAATGATTGCTATTTAGAAGTTATGAAAATGTGAAGGTGAAAAAAAGAGATCAAATTCAAACTCCATTCAATTTGATACGAGGTATAATTGATACTAAGGGTAAACATCAGGATGGAGTCATGTGTGACAGGAGTAAACCTCCCCAGTCCATGGGTCACATCAGCCGTAAGCCCTTTGTCCTGATTAGGTAACATGATACAGTGTGAATCAGTATCAAATCAATGACTAAACAATTTACATAAAAACTGTCAGTGAACAGTCGACCCAAAAAATCGAGGCCCCGTGTCACGGCAGGCGTTGGCATGATAAAGTTCTTTAACTGCTCAATGGGCCTAGGTGCCGAGTAAAGGTCTAAATGTGAAGCCCTTTACCTGTATATGATAACGTCTCCATATGCCGATGAAAAATTCTCGAACGGGACGTAAAACAATATACAATCAATCAAACGACCCAACGACAGGTTGAAATTGCAAACAGAATTTGCGAAATGTTTTACATCAAAGTGACCAAAAGTAATTATCATTAGATATATCCTGTTCAACAAAGAATACATAACATAATAAGAAGGATGTCGCTATTGCTTCATTTGTAATGAAAACATAAATGTTTGCACCATAAACAGCGTTTGTTTTAGAAGTTTAGAAAGGTGTAATTCAGATTTTATAAAACGAAAACCTGTAGAGAATGTTAGAGGTTGTGTAACACCAGATAGGAAAACAATTCTATTATACGAGTAAATGCAGTGTTGATTTGAAATATGATTTATTAAGGAAAGATTCGTGTCTGTTTTCTGACTAGATAAAATGTTCAAAGAATATTTGCTTCATTTCATTTATATTAAAATGTTGGGATTAATTACATAATATTTTTATTTCCTTCTCATTATTGTTCAACTTAAACAGAAATGGTAAAATAGTTTTAAAATCTACCAGGAATATATTTTTGGAGGAACGGCGTAAATCTTTTTTTTATAATTGCTTTCAAACTTACCACAGAATACTGAATTTAGTTAACATTTTTAAACAATCAAAGATATAATTGAATTTCAAATGAATGCATTATTTTTAAAGGTCTATTTAAAGATCATAAATTAATGACCATGATTTTCTAGCCAATTTGAGATACCATTTTCTCTCAAGACCAAGTGAAAAAATGAATTAAATTGATAAGATTCTTTTAAATAATTTAAGGTGTACTGAGTTTTAAAATATTGAGCTTGGCAAATAATATCTAGGTGCTGTAAATTAAATTTGAAATAACCTAGTATATAGCTGCAATTTCACATATTCTAAATAATAGTCTATTATCATATTTATAGACTATTACTTTAATATCTAAATGAAAAATGAGGATTCTGAATGTAATACCTTTTTAATAATTATTGGAATAATCATATTAATTGATTTAGGTACTTTACATAACTTCTTATTGTTTATTTTGCCTTCTGCTTCCAATTTCCTCGGTTTAGTTTGTTATATCCCCTTCTTGGAACTCTTTAGTATAATTGGGTTTGACAGGTGTATCAACATGGAATAAAGAATGTCATTTTAAACCTTGGGAGTTGTTATGGATCATCACTGCACAACGAAAGTAAGGAAAACTCGTTGTAAAGATCTTTGAATGTAAAAAAAGAAACAACAACCCAGCTTGGACGCGCAAAAAGCCCCCGCGTGAAGGTTTTGTGTCGTATCAGTGTATGTAGGAATGAAAATTCTGATAGACTCCACTCGTTAAAAACCTTTGTTATATGCTTTAAAACATTGTGATACTTTTTGTTTACTGTGGAGACAAGCATACACTGTGCATTTATGTGGATAGAAGGATCATTCTAAAACAAGCAAGTATTTAATATATATATATATATATGGCTACAGCCTAAACATTCATTTCGCAGTACAAACTGGTAAGAATTAAAATCATGATGAGGGGGCAATCATTTCATTCTGATCCCGGGGGAGGGGGGAGCTGTCAGATTTTATCATCCCAGATTATTTATTTTCATACATATTATTAAGTATTAACAGTGGTTAATGTAATTGTATTATGAATTTATGAGTTGTAATTTATAAGATGATAAACATTATCTTTGTCATACTTTTTATTAGTTATAAAAATAAAAAAAATTGTCACCTCAGATTATTTATTTTTATTCATATCATTAAGTATCAACAGTGATTAATGTAATGGTATTATGATCTGTAATTTATGTGATACTTTGCCCGAATAAACATAAAAATATAAATACCCTTGCAGACAATATATTAGTTTCGATGATGATCGGAAACATTTTTTATTCCCTTGGTATGGGGAAGCACCATCTGTCAGGGTCAGATTATCTTCTTCCAAAAGAGGAAAGATTTTTTTTTTTCAGCAATTTTTAGTTCAGGTTATTTAATATAAATGTGTATATATTCGGTAGTTTTACTACTCTCCCCTCCTTCCCTTAATGAAATTGAAATGGTCGTCCCCTAAGAATATGGATATAATTATAATAATGGTTATTGCTTATCAGGCCAGTTATACCAGTTTCCATGGACAAAATTTTAAAAACAAAAAAAGATAATTAGTTATAGATATTGAAAAATTTATCAGCTATGCAGTCAGATGTTCATCTAAGGAATTTATTATGATCATGTAATTTTATTGAAATAATTTTGCTAACAGATACACATACTCCTATTCACAAGATAGAATACTAAATTATTATATAGTCTATTTTAGTCCCTATATAATCTGTACAAACGCAAACGGTTCATACATGTAACACTACATATTCCATGATCTGATAAAACAAAACAGAAGCTAATGAAGTAACAATTATGGATAAGGGGATGTCAACAGAGGAGAAGGTGCATGCTGATGACAGTCACACATACGAACCAGGCTTATTTGCCTTATATAGTCTTTGAACTTTCCATCATTTAAGGAATGTCAAAGATCTAGAACTTGTGTTAACTGGAAAATTGCTTGCATGTCAATATGTACATGTATATGTATGTACCATTATGTGAAACCACTGACATTGTAAATGTACATGTGTTTCTTAAAATGGTTTTGTTTAAGATGATCAAGAAAGAACACTCTTAATGAAATTATTTCTAGTACTTGCACTATGATTGAAATGAATATATACATTTGTGTTATTTGATTATATGTAGAAACTTGTTTACAAAATATTTATACAAATTCAAGTTTTAAGTGAATTTCGAAAATATTGATATGTTGAAATTACTGGCTAACACAATGGCATAGCTTGTTGATTTGGAGTCTAACAACTGTGAAATCACTATTTCTTAGGGGGGGGGGGGGGGTCATTGTTGTCATGGTATGAAGAGTCCCTTAAAATGTAAATCTTGTAATATGTAACAAAAAATATGTACTCCAACTACAGATATAAATTATAAAAAAATAATGTGTAGTAATAATTAAAAGAAACCCCAACACTGAAGGCATTTATGCATAAGATTATCACGCAAGCTAATTGCTTCATCATCATCATGAAACAAAAAATCTGACAGTTATTTCTTATATTTACATGCTCTTGATTCCGTAAAACCACGTGCTAAAAGCCACGTTGTCTCTCTCTATTTCTCCCGCCCCGCACATGATTTTATTTTAACCACGCCAATCGATGAACTGGGAGCTTTATGTAGAAATCAAATATTTTTACAATTTGTAGTTTTATCTCGGACAAAGAAATATAAAATGTAAATATAATAATATATACATGTTAATTCCATTTTTTTTAAATTATAGTGGAACTGTCTAACGAAAATGAAAGAACCATGATTATTCGTTATGA